CAGGGTTTTAACCACCATGCCACCCGCTGGTCCCCATGCCAGGCATGGTTTTTAAGCCACTGGGTCCAGGACTCAAATTGCTTAATTGGTCATGTGGGAGCCAGCCACCTCAACCACCATGTCACTGTATGACTCCCTATGTTAGTATTTTTATCCCATAACAAATACGTAAGAATAACTTTATCTGGGTCTCAGTCACTTATTATAAATAGGCATGATTCTCTAAATGTTTGGCATCCAACAGGCATTCCAGAGTGGGCAAAGATGCCCAGACTTATGAGACTGTATAAATAGATGACAGGGAACCAGCAGTTAGCGTAATGGCTATGTCGCTGGACTCCCACGTAGTCGACCACAGTTCGTGTCCCGGACCCGGTGGCTTAAAACTCACGCCGGGCGCGTTTTCGTGCGTGCCCAAGATCCCGAGAGGAGAATGGAGGAGAAGGGATTGCGGCGTGACCATCCCCCCTGGGGGATGATTTCTTGATTTCTGTCTCTATGTCTCTCTCTGTCTGTCTGGCGAGTGCACGCGCCCTACAGTGAAAATCTCTCCAAAAAAAAAAAAAATAGACGACACTGGGCAGATGCTTATGGAACACGCGGGAACTGCCCACGCTGCCCCACGGCTCTCACAGTAGCTGCGGTCTACTGTAGAACTGGCGATAATGCTGAGCATCGTGTAGCACCCCCAGTGGGATAAACCTGGCCAAGACCAACTCAACTGATAGATAAACCACAAATCCTGACTTTTCCCAAAATGATCTCTTCCTCCTGGGTGGCAAAATCGTTTTAGAAGTCATTAGATAAAAAGCCGGTCAGGAGAGGTGGTAGAGGCAAGTGCTCTAACCCTTGAATAATTGAAAGCTGACTCAAAAGATAATTTTGAGTTAAGAAGGAGATGCTGAAACCAGAGAAAAAAACTTTGAGTTTCCTTACATTCGAGATTTGGAATGTATTTTGAATTTTAAAAATGTTTAAATATTTTTCAAGTAAATACAGAAAATTCAAGATGCCAAATACCTGCATAAAATTCTGGTTGTCTCTCAGGTATGTGATTCTAATAAACTCTAAAAAAAAATTCCATCTTTACCGTCCATACCCTATGAGTCAGAACAAGGTGGTCAGTGGGGCGGGGTGAGGGGTGAGAATTGCTCCTAGAGTGGAGGGGGCATGGCGGTGGGGTGTGCATATCATGTGTGACTGCTCCTAGAGGGGTGGACCATGGGGGTGTCATGTGTGACTACTCCTAGAGGGGTGGACCATGGGGGTGTCATGTGTGACTTCTCCTAGAGGGGTAGACCATGGGGGGGTGTGTCATGTGTGACTGCTCCTAGAGGGGTAGACCCTGGTGGAGTCTCATGTGTGACTGCTCCTAGAGTGGGGTGGACCATGGGGGTATCATATGTGACTGCTCCTAGAGGGGTAGACCATGGGGGTGTGTGTGTCATGTATGACTGCTCCTAGAGGGGTGGCCCATGGTGGAGTGTCATGTGTGACTGCTCCTAGAGTGGTGGACCATGGGGGTGTCATGTGGTGTGACTTCTCCTAGAGGGGTGGACCATGGGGGTATCATATGTGACTGCTCCTAGAGGGGTAGACCATGGGGGGGCTGTGTCATGTGTAACTGCTCCTAGAGGGGTGGCCCATGGGGGGTTGTTGTGTGTGATTGCTCCTAGAGGGGTGGACCAAGGTGGGGTGTCATGTGTGACTGCTTCTAGAGTGGGGTAGCCCTGGGGGTTGTCATGTGTGACTGCTCCTAGAGGGGTGGCCCATGGTGGAGTCTCATGTGTGACTGCTCCTAGAGTGGGGTGGACCATGGGGGTATCATATGTGACTGCTCCTAGAGGGGTAGACCATGGGGGTGTGTGTGTCATGTATGACTGCTCCTAGAGGGGTGGCCCATGGTGGAGTGTCATGTGTGACTGCTCCTAGAGTGGTGGACCATGGGGGTGTCATGTGTGACTGCTCCTAGAGTGGGGTAGACCATGGGGTGTGTGTGTCATGTATGACTGCTCCTAGAGGGGTGGACCATTGGGGCTGTCATATGTGTAGCCCACCACATGAAACTATGTGGATTACATTAACGGCTGGACACATGGCATAGGCGGAGTTAAAAAAGAAAAGGAAATTTTCATCCTGTGTTTCTCCCTGCCCCCCACCTCATGTCACCAAGGACAAAGTTCACGCTGTCCTCTGGATGCTGAATGGCAAAGTAAGGTGAAAGGAGAAAGCAAAAAGTGCTTTTATTTTTCTCTTTTGATCCCAACTCTTCATGTTAGATGCCCATGAACAAGGAGTACTGTGAAGTTCCAAATCAAGCTCAATAAAAATCAAGACTTTCCTCTGTTCAAAATCAGATAATCTACAATGATTTCTATAGTCCCAGGTAATCTTTGAATGCAGCCCTTCAATCTGCAGGGGAAGACACTGAAGCCCAAAAAGTTGGGTGACTTCCCAAGAACTGCTGCAAATGTGTATTCTGAAACAGCCTGCTTGCTTATGGCA